GCCGCCCCCCCTCGACCACACGGAAGGCAGGAAGGCGTGGAGAATACCTCCGATGGTGTGGCCCAGACAAAACACACATTGTGCGAGTAGGTCACGGATGGTGTGAGTCGCCACTCCCACGGGTCGTGACAGAGACGTCTGCACGGCAACTAAATGTGGAGGAGATTAAGCGGTGGTGACCTGCGATGGTCGGAGCGCTCGGGACGCGAAAGTAACTGATGGTGATGAGGAGAAGGAGAATCGGAGTGACGACGATGAGGCTCGTGAGGGTAACGAGGTTGAGTGAGTCGCCCAAAGCTGGAAGTGATCACGCTCTCTCCGTCCGACCCCTCCTTAGATTTTTTGGACGTGACTCTGGTTCACACACCCAGTTCACTTCTCTGCCGACAGTCACTTCGGCGTGGATCCTGTTTCACTGCTAATTGTGTGAGCGGGAGAAGCAGTAATGGTAAAGGACATATTTTTCCAGTAGGTAGAGCCAGAAATAGAACGCTTCCATATCAGGTTCTCATCAACAGCATCATAATTTTTGCATTCAGTGACATGAAAACCTTGGCCGCGCCGTTTCCTCTCCTCATTCCTTGGGCTTTTGGGTGAAAACCAACAGAAGTCCCTGCTGACTCATCCCAAAAACAACCTCAGTGCTCAGCATCTGAGAGTGAAACCTCAAATCAGGTCAAGAATCTGAGCAGAGTCTTCGGTGGCTGTTGGAAAAAAAACAAACCATCTTTTACTCTGACAATAGAATGAAAGGAGAGGTGAGGGAGGGAGGAGGGAGGGAGGAGGGAGGAGTGGGTGCCTCTCTCTCTCTCTCTCTCTGTCTCTCTCTCTCTCTCCTCCTCCTCCTCCCTTCGCCTCCTTCTATCTGTGCCTTTTGTTGGACAGGATCCAGGCTCTGGGCCGTGGTGTGAGCAGTCGAGCTCACGGAGCGGGGCAGCCCAGTGGGCTCCGTAATCTAATTACATGCTTTATTTACTGCAATTTGTTTCTCAATCAGTATTTACGAAGGCGATAGCCCTCCTCCTCCTCCTCCTCCTCCTCCTCCTCCTCCTCCTCCTCCTCCTAACACACCGTGCTGCACCGCGGCCCTGCGTCTGTGCACATGTTCACACCGCGGCTGGTGTCATGATACAGCCAGAGTGTGTCCAGATCAGACTGATAGACTGGAGAACTGTCCTCAGATCAGATTTCCACACGCGCGGCTGCTTTTCGATTTTATCAGTGAGAAAACCGTAGCGGCTGCACACACGTCAGCTCAGCTGGAGGATATGGATTTTTTTTTCTTTTCTTACTCCTGACACGTTCACAGTTGTTTGTCTTTTCTTAACCTATATATTTATGGTGTATTGTGTGTTTTGTGATAACTGTACAGTAAGAGACGGGGAGACATTTTTACTCACACTTCTGCACACACACATTTTTGGTCCGAGTGGAATAAAAAAGGCTGAAAAAATAATATTCATCATTGTTATGCTACATAAGTTAGTTATAAATATTAGCCAGTGATAATATAATTTAAAATATTTTATAAATTCACAGGGATGATCCTGAAAGTGACGTTATTTTATTACCTAGAATAAATAATTATAATAAGAGTAATAAATGTGTAATTATTATTATTATTTTTATCATCAACTATGTATAAATGTGCAGCTTTTTTAAAGTGAAACCAAGAAGAAGAGATATTTTTGGTCAGTCAGGTATATTGTTTTTTTAATTATTTTTAATTTATTCACGGGGTGTTTTTTATTATTATTAGTATTTTTAATTTATTCACAGGGTGTTAAAGTTCTCTATTTGTTTTAGTTTAATTTTAAATTTAAATTTGAGTACTTCCTATTTTAGTTTCACTTTTTTTCTCCACTGTCAGAATTTCTAATTCAAACTTATTTGAAAAAAAAGAAGCACATATAAAATTTTTTTTTTTTTTACATTTTTTCATATATTTTATCCCATTTACTCTAATTCTTTGTTCTGCACTAAACCCCATCGTCGTAGCCCAGACTAAAGGCGGGAACTCCAGGTGATTCCAGAAGGTTCTTGTCAGGCCGGTTCTCTTACTGTCGCTCTACAACAAACCAAACCGAGGTTCTCTAAGAGATCCTACCCTCGAGCTTTGACTGAGAAGATTTAAAAACCCTCACGTTCTCTAAAGGACTTGAGTTAATCCACCTCCGTCACCTGGGCTCCGTCCGTGTCCCGGCTCCGCGGCGGCGCTGGTGTGTATTTGTACTGTATCGTGTTTTTTAAGCAGTTTAAAGGAGGAGGCATTTCAAACGAGAACGATTAGCCCAAAGTTCCTGAACGGCACTTTGATGACGGGGCAGAGGTCCACCTCTCAGTTTCGTACTCCGCGCTGCTTTGAAAGGCTGGAAACAAAGCGCTGTAGTAACTGCGTGTACTCAGAACACCCAGAGCAGATTTTAGCTCAGTGCTACAGGACGGCTCCCACTTCCCTGCTTGTAACACACTGACAAAGGGAACATTTGTCCTCACGGTAGGGGACTGCCTGGGCCTAAATAGGGGTCTGGGGGTGCCCTCAGCAGGGCCTGGAGCTGTGTCTCAGGGGTACACTAATGGGGAATGAAAGGCTATCAAAGGGAAGTATCATGATGGCATCAGGGAGGGGGGGGCAGGGTGGGGGGGGGTTATGAGAAAACAAAGCTTCTTCTCCACGGCTCCCCCTTCATTCATTTACATGGTAATCAGGTGAAGCTCATATACTAGACTCCTCTGTTTCATTTACTTTGTGTACTTTTTGTTTTTTTTTACTCTCTATTTACTATCACCGGCTGCAGTTCCGCGCCCCCCCCCACTCACTACCTTTATTTTCAAATCTGGGGTTTTCCCCCAAACTGCTGCTCCCCCTCTTTCTCTTCCCAACCCCCTGACAAACTTCACTCCTGTCTCCTTTTTTTCTCTTTTTGTCAACCTCTCCACCCCTTCGCTTTCTACCAGCATCCATCCTCCCACCTCCTCCTCTTTTTTTTTTTCGGGGCACATTTTTCCTTGTCGCGGAGTTCCCCCGGCAACCTCATTCAAGCAGAGCATAAAGGAGAGTAAAGGCACGGAGCAAAGATCTGTTCGCAACAATGAAGTCTGTTCATATTCAGGCTGCTTGAAAGCTCCAATCCTTCTTCCACCGCCCCATCACTCTCCTCCAGTCACTACTACTTGCCATCCATCCATCTCCGGCAGCCTCCCTCCCTGCCTCCCTCCCTCCCCCCCCCCCCCCCCCCTCCTCCTTTTTTTTCCCCGCACATTACCACACTGTCAACCCATTCAGACCCTCATTCAATTCATGCCAGCTGGGAGCAAGAAACTTTGAGTCTAACATTTTTATGGCAGTGTCTGGCAGTGTGACAGCGCAGCACGCAGGCCGAGGTGGAAAGCGGAGATACCGTCTCTGTCATATATATAAAATATAATGTTTGTTTTATTTTGAATGGTGCGTTTCTGTTCAGTTAAATATATATATATATATTTGTCCACTAAAAATAATTGAAAAATGTTTCCACATTATGAACCATTCAATGATTTTTCCTTAGACTCAGCTGTTGGTGTCATACGTTTATATCATTTCATCAAATTACAAATATATATATATATAGTACAAATATATATATTTTTTAACATCAACATCAACATTATCCAATTTCTTTTTTTAATTTAAAAGCTCATTAAACCTCCGGGGCGCAGACCACGGGTGGGGCCTCCCGGGCACAGACAGCTGGGCCTTGATTTGCAGCATGGCCAGGCTGCTGGACCACGGTCGGCCACAGAGATGCAGCGCTAACTACGGTAGCATCGGGGGACGGAGCTAAGAACGTTTAAATGTGAAGTATTGCAGTACAAAGTGCAGTAACAGATGTTTGCTGTAAAAAAAAAAGTTCAGGTTCTGGGCAAATGTTTGTGTTTCAAAAATACTTCAGAAAATCCGTTTGTGTTCGTTACAATAACGGTCGACGTTAATTAACAACGTGCTAACGCCGAGCCCGGACATCCATACATATCTACTGTATGTGAGCATTAGCATTAGCTCAGTTTGTTAACCACTTTGCATAATTATCTTTTTTTTTTTATTTTACCGTATCCAGAGTGGACCGCGCCCCTCCGACCCCCCCCCCCCCCCCCCCCCCCCTTGGTGAGAAGGGTTCTCTTCTTCATGGATGGCTAGTCCTCCTTCCTGACCTCCCTTTGTCTGGCCGTGACCTGCTTCACACCCCCACATTCTCCTCCCCTCAAATAGCTGCCAGCCCTCAGCGCTCCTTCTCGCTTGTCCGCAGCGCAATAAATGCAAAAGCTTGACATGGTCCTGGGCGAGGCCTTGAAGTGATCCTGGGGTTATTTATTTCAGAAGGTCGGGGGCTGAGGTGACAAGCATGGTGAGATTTCAGAGGGAGGTGGGTGGAGGAGGAGGGGGGGGTGATGTGGATGGAGGGTGGTCTTCGCAGGGACTGACTCATTCCCACAGTCACAGGGAGTGAGTTGTGTGACAGCCGTACAAATCTGTATTTCTACCAAAAACGCGTCCGCTCTCATCAGCATAATTCAGAGGTTCCCACCGTCACACACGAGCCTGGAGACACGACGGACCACAGACCATAATAGTCCCACTGGACGTTGTCATCAAATCCAATATGTGTCAACCAATTAGTCCCCAAAGTAAAAATAAGTGCAGTCGTTATCATTCATCTACAAACCTGTGATTAAAATGACCTGGATGTCCGTCTGCTGAACGACCTCGACACCAACAAAACCACCAGTCGGTCATCAGCGTTTTATTTCTTTTTTGTTTGTTTTAATTTTCCAGCACGCTGATGAGTTCAAATTGACACAAGAAAAAAAAGCAAAAAATGGAAATAAAACCTGGTATATTTAGTAAAATAACAATGATTTTAATATTTAAATTATATATATTTATATTATTTAATTTTAGAGTGAATTTTAAATTTAAAAAATTGTATTTTCCACATCTTTTTTTCCTCATGTATTTAAATGAAAAATGTTTCATAAAAGTAAAAAAAAAATTTTTTTTGAGCAGTTCAACAAAACTCACCATTGCTTATCATTATTTCTCCTTCTCCCTAATATGTTTAATTTTTTTTTTCTTCTTCTGCAGATTGTGACTCATACTGCAAGGCGTCAAAAGGCAAACTGAAAATCAACATGAAGAAATACTGCAACAAAGACTACGGTAAGACGGACGTCCTGTCGTCTCTATGATCTATATCTACATCTATATGATCGTGTCGTCTTCTCTAAAAATACAAACACAGACCCATCCGTTCACCATCATTTTCACCGACCGAGATGAAAACATTTCCGGTTCATTCCGCAGTAAATCTTCTGCGAGCGCTGACGTGACATTTGCGACTTTTCCGGTTTGTTCTTAATGTTTAATCTTCCTGCGTTATGTCCTGCCACGGACGGCGGCCGTAGTTTACATGTGCGGCCTTTAGCTGATGGCTTACTCCGGCTTTTGAGGACAGAGACAAAGGATCAAACAGCAGAGTGCTGATCTGAACGGAGGAAGAGAGAAGCAGTCAAACACCAGGAGAGAAAAGACAGGATAAAGAATTACGCTGAGGTGGGTGTGGGTGGGTGAGTGTGAAGGGTCGTCCCAGAGCAGGCCAGGCATTAAAAGACCAGAGCGGATAAAGCCAAAGCGGTGTGACGGACAGTGGGCGCTCACTAAGAGATCCTCATTAAAACGGCTTTCTTCCCCCCAAAAACCAGCCCGTCTCTCACTGCATTCCTGTGGGCGTCCGTCCGCCGTGCTATTCAAGGTGTGGATAAGATGTATGACCTCTCCCCTCTGTCCCCTACCCCGATTGAAGTCGGGCTTCCGAAGCGGTCAACCAAGCAGCGGCATCCTAGAGCATACCTCAGCAGCTTGACGGACAGCCCTGGGCTTTGTTCTGCAGGGATTTGGCTTATAGACACATCCTCTTCCACAGATTCCCACCTCGGTGGCATCATGAGAAAGGGTTCATGAGTGAAACACCAATGTTCCAGTCCAGAGTCTCCACCAAAAAGCTGTATTTATTTGATTTTTGGGGGTTTTTTTTGGACAATCAATTTCGGTAAAAAGCAAAGAGAAACTTTCTTAAAATCTACTTTTGCAGATGTGAGGCAGCAGATCAGTTACGTCCACACATGTAACGGAGACAAAAGTGGAAGAGACAGAAGTCAGAATGTGGCTGTCACAATATAGAAAAATAAGGAAATATATATAAATATATATACAAATATATTTGCATATACTGTATGTTTGTATGTATTTATATATATATATTTATATGTGCATATATGTTTGTATGTATTTATATATATATTTATATGTGCAAATATGTTTGTATGTATTTACATACATATATGTGCATATATGTTTGTATATATTTATATATATATATGACAGTAGAAGATATAAAAGCAATTACTATTTTTTATATTGATGCTGCAACATAGTGAAATATATATGTAGGAGTCTAACAGTAAAGGTAGTAAAAAATAGTGGTTACGTTTTTATTTTTTAAATTAATTAATTATAATAATATAAATATATAGTATTTATATATAGTGTATATGGTATATGGAGCTCACAAACCGAGAAAAAGAAGAAGAAATTGCCTGTGTATCATTTTACCAAATGAAAGTTGGCCGCAACCAATCAGAAAGTCAGGAGCGACGTGAACGTACAGGACAGATCCAGGGATTTCTAATGTAGCTTTAGAAAAGAGCAGCAGGGGGGCGCCGCTCCACACTCCGACCTTCTGTGGTTGATATAAAGGCGCACATAAAGAATCACAGGAGGTGGCGGGGGGCAGGCGAGAGGGGTTGGGGTGGGGGGGGGGGGGTTTGTTTTAAAAATGCACGGCCGCGCG